CGTCTAGACCGACGGTGAAGTGTTTACGGCGGCTGAGTGTGCGTAATCATGGAATGTGGGGCGGTGTTTGAACGGGACACCTTTCTGTGATTGGCCGACTATCCACCGATGTGGGGGTTCCTACCGGACCTGGGGAGAACGAAGTGTTTAAAATGAGCGAACTTTGACAAGCAAACGTCTTCTCTGGTCTTGAACAAACTGTACAAATGTAAATTAAACGTCTATCGAGAAGTAACCCGGCTTCCGAGGCCCATCTTCCTGATGTCCTGGTCGGTACCTGGATCCGGCGGAGCCCGACAACAAGGACTATCCTGGGTTCGCTACAACGTTTCCCGAGAAATGTCTCTTTGGTGCTCTGTGCTACCAGATCCTCGCGCTCCAAATGACACTCTATGGCTCCGTCGTCGAACTGCCAGGCTTTGTGAGGATAGAGGAGGCTATGCAGTGTTGTACACGTTCCTCAAAAAGAGGAACGGAAGCTCGTTCCTCGTTACTTTTGATTTTCGGAACGCGTTCCCGTTACAAGTTCCATCTGAGAGAAAGGAACTCGTTCCCGTTACAGTTTAAAAAATGGAACGTGTCGTTACATATACGTTACATTTGTATTTTGCTAATTACAATACTTAATTAGATCAAACCGAGTTTTTTTATCTATTGCATTAAATGGCAACATACGAATTAGAATGCCGTGATGGAAGGACACAAGGAGAAGAAAAACAGAAGCGAGGTTTCATTTGTTGATATATTCACTTTTAAAAACCTCAGGGTTTTGCCATATAAATGTTTGTGGTGGGCTATGCAGACGAGCCAAATGTGCTGTTACCTCACATTGTACGGGCGTTTTACAACAACCTCACACGTCTCAATCTAAGAAATTCCCGTGTTCGAACTTAACAACAGTTGCTTGTCGATGCTGCTGTCAGCGAGACGAGCAAGTGGAGAAGAAGGTAGGGCTTTCGAAGGTCAGTCTTGACAACTACCAGTTTCTCTTCGTGAAGGTTGGACTCGTTGTTTATTTTGAAGTTGGGAGAAGAGGAGAGGGAGGGAAGGTTTATTTCTGTGCATCTGGCAAATGTTTGGGGTACAAGGGTGTGTTTGATGTCTAGTAACCTGTTCTTTTGATATAACTGGATTCTTCGTAAAATTTCAGCGATGGCTGCAGTCTGCCTTAGATTTCTTGGTGTATATGAGGATTCGTGGAAGCAAAGAAACTAGCTGAGTTTGAGACGTCCCTTTTTTTATTTCCCTTCGACTAACTGTTCTGATTTTTGTACCGCAGCCTCGGGCACTGAAAAGACAATCAATGCTCACTAGCTCTCCTGCACCCTACTGTTACCAAGCGAGGACCCCACAAAACAAACCCTAAGTAACGAAAAACCTAACGAGATCCTCCTCTTCGTAAATATATTGTTTTTTTTTTATAATTTTTTTAATCCTCCTCTTATAAATAAAATAAAAATGACCCCACCGGACGAAAAAAAAGGAACGCCGTTTCCTTCTACCTTTCCCGTAAAAATATAACGAGTTCCCGTTCCAGTTCCACCGATGCAAAATGGAACGGCGGCGTTCCTTCGTTCCTCCTAAAAGGAACGCGTTCCAGGAACACCGTTCTTTGGAACGCCGTTCCGTACAACACTGAGGCTATGCTCGTAACGGTCTACTCCGGTCTGCCGTAGCCCGGTATAGTGACGACAAGGGGAAAGAAAGCTTACCTCGCAGCACTTTACCAAGACCCTGAACGGAAGGCATAGCACTGCGCATTGTTCACACGTTCGAACCAACGTCCCTCGATAACTCTATGCGAGGTTGCGACAAGTCCTCCCCCCCTGCCCTCCTCCCCTCGCTCCTGTCGTCTGCTAGCGCGCCGGCCCGCCATGTTCTTCCTAACTCGCCCACCATTGCTGTGTTCGAAAACTTACGAGTTTCTCCGGCGGGTCATGTCACGTGACAATTTAGATAGAACAGCCAAATACCCTGGAGACTAATAGAGTAAACTCGGGAGTAAAATAGGAGACGGAAACAGAAGGCGATCCTGGCGTCAGGGAGTGGACGACTAGCTATTCTCACCTAAAATTCAGCAAATGGCTCTGACTCAGCAGATACATTGATAATCTATGAAATATATATCTTAAAGGGCAGCTCTTAGGCCCGCTTTAGACGGGGCAACTTTTCCAGCAATTTTGAGGTTGCTGGCGGGTTGTTCCCTAGCATTCCCTAGGTCGACACGAATTGCTGAGATCGGGTCCGGCCTCGAAACGGACGAGCAACTCGAACAACTCGGAGACGTTTGAAGCGGCAACAGCCAATCAGGGACGCGATATTTTCACGTGACACCCCTGTGGTGGTGATGACGATAACTAAAGACTTGGTTCCGGTTTGAAATTGATCGTTTTTGGAAATAAACGTTTTCAGAAAGATGAGTTATGGTGAATTCCACTCGTAGATCCGGAGCGCTTTCCAAAATCTGCGAGGGAGGCGAAATTCCGCTCCGTGCGACCCGCTCCGAATCGACGAGGGGAAGATAAACTCGCTTTTTTGGAGCGACATCCCCCACACCAGGCCCTCCCCCCCGCTTCCCCCTCCGCCGTTCAAAATGGCCGCTGCTCGAACTTCACAAGCCCACCAACGCCTCAGCCGACTGATCATTCTGACGACCAGTGACAACTGTCACTGCTTAGCTGCAGAAATAACACGCGACACAGGTCGGGCGAAATTATACGTACAACGGCGCCCATGTCACAAATAACGAAGACGTCCGCGTTCGGCACCGTCGCATACCTTTCGGCAGCCTTGAAGCGGCAAGTCACGGACAGCGATTGCCAGCGTTGGAGACCAGATTTCTGGTACGACTTTAATAAACGCAGAGGTAACAAACCATCACTTGCATGGTCGTTGCTAATCTCTTCTTGCTTTATTGCACGGGAAAACGCCGGCGGAATGCAGTGTAAAAGGGTAAACAATCATTGGCTGCAGAATGAACAGGCCTAAGCTTGCGTCTGCCTCCGGCTTTTTTGTCGTTATTTTTCTCGTTGTTCTTCTCACGATCACCGATGTCAGCGCTTACGATTTACCACGCTCCACAGTCCCGGCTTTGTATCCCTGATTTACGCGAGGTAGAAGCGTTCGAGCCGTCACAATCTCACGTAAACAACCGACGCACCCGAACAGATCCAACTCGACGACCCGACCGTGGCCCGACCGGCCCGCCGACCTCGCCCACCTCGCCGCGCATGCGCACTGCCGATTTAGAAGGAGATGACGTAGGACGCTCTGGTCAACTTCCGGAAAGATCTGTGAAATTCTGCAGAGCAAAGTCGGCGGGGTTGGAGGCGCTCCGTGGAGCGGTCGCTGCCAGAGATCTACGAGCGAAAGATGACCAGCTCGAGCCAGATCTGCGAGCGGAATATGCGCGCTCCAAACCGAGCGCTTTTGGAGCGCTCAAGATCTGCGAGTGTTCTCACCACCACTCAAAAATAGAAAAGCACGGTTTTAGCGCGTAGCTGTGCGTCTAAATACTGAAAGAAAAATCAAATTGAATGATCATGATGGCAAGTCGTAGCAATTTGGTTGCTGCGTGCGAACGCGGGCGTTCCGTGTTGCTGGTGTTGCGACGTCAAGTTGCTGGGTAGAATTGCCCCGTCCGAAGCGGGCCTTAGGCGCCCGTTTCCGGCTTGAGCGGCGTCGCCGTCGCCATCGGCGTAACCGCGCGGTGCTCTTTCCACTTTAACAGAGCAAACGCTGGAGAGGAGGCGATTTCCTCTCCAGCGTTCGCTTGGCTAAAGTGGAAAGAGTTGGGAGGAGTTTCCACTTTACTCTTAAAAGGAACACTTGCACACCCCCAAGAAAAATTTCGTTTTTTATTTTTTTTTTTTTTTTGCCAGGCGATCTAATATGGTATCAGAAGACTACCCAATCATTATTTTGATACAGCGTCACGTCTATTGTTTATGAAGTACAAAACGCAACCGCTCGAAACCGAAACCGAAACTGTACTCGGGAGGAAGCAGAAATATAAAGGAGAAAGTTACCGAAAATCACGTTACTGTGCAACATTTCTTTCTTTTTTTTTTTTTTTTTGTCAGTCAATGTATTTGCAGTTTTTTCCAAGCCACAAAAAAAAATGGCTATCATATTGTCGTCCATTTTTAGCATTGAGTGTGTGCCTTCGATGACCCACGACCTTGAATATCTTGGGTGGTTGTGTCTAACTCTAAACCATAAAATATTTCACGTGACCACGACGAAGAGAGTGAGAGCGACTTTAACCGACTTGCTCTCAATTGGCGGTTTTTGGGCGGAAAGAAAACGAATTTCGAGCCTCGAATTGCGTTCTGGGCTGATGCACTCTCATATGTCTTGTACAAGTAAAATCCTTGGCTAACATAAATACCCTGTCAGTGTCCCTTTAAAGGGGCCCTCCAACAGTATTTGAGCGTCGACTTTTTTTTGCGGTTTCTACACGTTAGTGGTCCCGGAAACCCAGTGGAAAACGAAAGAGTTCGAAAATATTAGCGCATCATATTTTAATTTGACAACTAGGAAACACCTCCTCCGACGGTGGCGTCGCGAGGTGCCGAATGCGCGCGAATAACGGTGCTCCCTTTCACGATACGTCACATTCACTGGGTTTCGTGATTGGCGAGAGCCGTCCCAGGAAATTTGAAGCGAAATAAAGTATATCACACGTTAACCGTCATTATTTCTCTAACAAGTCGTTTTTATAGAGCTAATAAAGTTGCAAATTAAAGTTCAAAAAGGGCGAAAACAACGCCTCGTCGCTCATGCGCGCCTCCCAGCGGCGTCCGCAACGTACGCCGCGAGCAGACGACAAGTGATCCGTCCAGTGCAGACACCGCGCATCGTATTTTCGCTTGTGCGCCCGGTCAACTAAAAGCAGTAAGAGGAGCCAGGGGAACCCTTATTTTCTTTTAGTACTGTGAAAGACTCTTCACTGTTCGAGTGAAGTGCGGCGACGGGACGGTGCAGACGGTTAACCGTAATGAACCTATGGTGAAACGATCACTTTAGGTTGTCGGCTCCGATGAAGTGTCTCGTGCGCGGTTGCACCCGCACGCACCGGGATGCGGGTGTTTCCTTTCACCGTCTACCTGGCAAGGATCCAGTGCGAAGTCGCTGGCTGGAAGCCCTTCGACTGCGCGCTAACTCGAAGATACTACATCAGCTTGATCGTGTGTGTTCCGAGCACTTCTCCGCGCAGTCCTTCACGTCGTGGAAGGTTTCGAAGAATCTGGGGTTCGAGAGAAAGAAGAAACGCCTCGACGAGGGCTCAGTTCCGACCCTTCAACTGAACCTCACACCAGCACCAGCGTGCAAAAGGCGCAGACTGGTGAGCAATTCTGTGATATATATTTTTTGTTCTTTTTTTTTAGTTATAATTGTGACTCACACGATGGCTCCTATCGCGCCCGTGAACATGCGTAATGCGAAATTGTGGCAGATCTCGTCCGCTGGTTTCCCCAAGCATCAAGTTCACATCTGTCAGAAGCCTTCCCTTGCACAGAAGTTTCCGAAGCCAAAAGGCAGCCGGGCGCCCGGCAAGGGGACCGATTGCAAAGCCTCTTGATGCGTGTTCAAGTTTCAAACGCTCGAGCGAGTAGGAGGGAAAACAGCCACCGATCGGAAAGAAGAGAGCTCGGATTAGAGGGGGAGGGAGGGGGGGGGGGGGGGGTGTGACGTCCACGATGCAACAATTTCAAATTCCGTATAAAAACTCATTTGCATACATTTTTTTTTTTTTTTTTTTTTGGTTCTCGGTTTTGAGTGGTGCGATAGTAAAAATAGAGAAGTATGCGTTATGTGCCAGCTTGACTGCACGAATCGCTTGACTTCCTCACAAAGTATTGTTCAATTAAATTGATCATAAAACGCGATTAAAAAAAGGCGGAAGTTTTGGCATTGTCTCTTTTTGCTACCTAAATAATTAACTTGTATTAATTCTGCATGCCCACATTACATTTCAACAGTGATTCAAATTGTCAATTTTTTTTTTCTCAGGATGATTCAGAGACGCCATCTGAGTGTGGGAAGCACAATGAAGCAGACAACCTCTGCGAAGACTCTATTGTAAGTCCGAGCTAGAGCTCCTATTAGTAAATCGAATGTGTGACGAGGTTTAGCGTGCTACCACACCATGCCAGGTACAATATGAAAAATGAAACTTTGCAGGTGGTGTCAAAAGAGGACATGGCAGCCAGTATAATCGAGGTTGTGCCTGCTGAACAGAAAGCACCTGAAACTCAAGACTGTTCTGTGAGTTTCTTGGCAGTGGGTGGTCGGTGTGGAATGAGGATGGGGGGTTAGAATGCGAATGGAGGGGTAAATAATCAAAGGATATGATTGAGAATGGATGTGCAAGCACACAAGGATTGCTTAGAAAGTAACACCCCAACATTTTTGTCAAACAATAGTTATTGAAAATAAATGAAATTTATAGGGTTTACTAGATATTTCTGTACGCATAACATTTATCTAAATAATCTACTCATCCTTTTACTACTTGACATCGGTAAGAAACAAGTGCACCCCAGCCGTATCACTCTATGCAATGTGCATGCGACGGCGATCTGTATGTGCATAGTTCTGGCGTCCTGGAAGTATGTCTTCCTCATAATGCATTTTACATCAAAACATAAGATCCAGTTCACGTAAATAATCTCACAAATGGGCTCAGTATGTCACCATAACTGCGGACACTAAAGCAGAGAATATGATGCCGAATTGCACAGCGTCGGGGTGAGTGTGTGGTTAAAGCGGCGGCCAGAGATGAATGTCTGATCAAAGCAGTCCAAGTTGCGGCCGCATGAACCACAGCTAAAATTAAGAGTATGAGGGTGGTGGCCGAGGAGAATAAGAAAACCGAGCACACCGAGAATACAGCACGGCCGCCACCATGTTTTGTGGGGAATTTATGAGCCATCCACTTCTGTAAACAGCTGTGGTTTGTGAAACGACAGTTCACTATGTGGCTTTAGCTTCCTAATTTCTAAAGAATTCAATGTTTCATGCCACCCTCGGGGAGCGAGAAAGGACTTTTAGTCACTATCTTTATTTTAGGACAAGAAAAAAAAAAAGTGTGGGTCATAACTTTCCGAGCAACTTTTGTTTAGAAGTTCCACTGCCATGCACATGCCCTTATTTTGCAACCTGTTTACAAAAACGTCTGGAAATTTATGCAAGTACACAAGGTCTTTGTGAGTCAGGCAGGTGTAAGGCTAAGCACCAACTATGAGCTTGAAAATCAAAGAAACATCACTGTGAACACATTTTCGGCCATTTTGCAGGAACTTCAGCTCGCAACTGAAGATCATGGGTATTCCATCAGAAGTGCCACGTCTGCCGACCACACCTACAGCATTGAAGTTCAGTACGAAAACAAAGGTAAGGACTTGCGAGATTTCATCCTAGTTGAGATGCACTCAAGCTCATTCATGTATTCAGTCCGTCATACAGTCTGTATCTCGTGACATGTACCGTGTGCAGTTTTTAATTTTTGTAGAAAACAAGCTCTAATGAGACATTTTAATATTTTCAGTGTTCCATTAGCATTTCCATGACACTGTGAGGAAAGGGATTTATCACACCTTTTTTGCTTCAATAAGCACGGTATATGTCAAGGGTGGCCAGGCTGACCCCGCCTAAGAGCCGCAAACAAAGCCATGAGACTTCCAATAGCCGCGGGGGAGGGGAACTTTTGTTCAGAGCAATAAAACTCGAAGTACTTTGGATCTAGCCTGGTCAAAAGCAGTTCAACTGTACGTAAGGTGGTAGTAACACAAGACTACCAAACCGCCACCTGTCTTTCAATTTAAAACGCGGTTCATTTCTCCTTTTGGGGAAGTCCTCGTGCGACCGGGAGCAAGGCAAGGAAAGGGGAGAGGGTAAGGGAAGGAGCTGCAAGCCGCACTTTAACACGCAAAGAGCCGCATGCGGCTCGCGAGCCGCAGGTTGGCCACCCCTGCTATATGTCATGCTCTTTTTGTGGTTGTGCGGTGGCGATGCTTAATAAATGGTAACAAAAGCAATTAGGGCTATGTTGCACTATGATACGTTAGTCTTAATGAAGGGGCGATCCATTTAATTTTGTCGGGAAGGGAAATGAGAGAGGGACAGGTGAGAAGGAGAGTGTGTTCTAGAGCCGTGATGCTAGACCAGCAAGGGACAGGAAATCAGGAAGTGCTTGTTGTACCTCAGTTCTTGCTAATGACCCCATAGAGAGCAGGAATTAGCTGTAGGAAGGTGAAAGGGTGGCTTTGGGAGACCTTTCACAATTCAATCCAAGTTTACTTTATCTGCAAGTCCTGTAAACCGAGCAGTGTGGCATAGTAGGACCTGAAAAGCTAATTTGGTTATCAGAGAATATCGATAAAATATGTTGGGGAATTCTTTTTGATTTGGTTATATACAGTAAATGAAGTAGTAGCAACTGTTAAGAACTCATCTGCAATTATTCTAGATATTTCGACAAAGCAACATATCGTAAAGCACCGAGTAATGTAACGGAAAATCTCCACGGCTACGACAGCCACCGAATGCATCATAGATTCTCATAGGCCAAGTGAAAAGCCACCATGTGCCGAAAATTCTGACCAAGCCAGGGGAGCAACCACAGTACAATGTACCGATAACATTCCAGGCACACAGGTGAACTTGTCCGCCAAGCAGTCGAAGGAGACGCAGACAGACCCATGGGAGTTTCCAGCTGTTCTTCCATGTACAAGTGCCGCTCCAGCCATCATGAGGCAAGTGCCTCCATCACCAGCAGTTGAGACACCAGCGTGCCAGCCTACAACTGTTTTTCTGCGCAGGGATCCTGCTCCAGTTGCTATGAAGCAAGTGCCTGTGCCAGCAGCAGTTGAAATGCCAGCATGCGAGGACTTCGCCACAGAGCAGGTGGCCCCATCGTACCAGCCGACAAGCCAGCCATTTCTGGAGGCCGACCTCTCTTTCGAAAGACCAGGCATGTGCTCAAGCCCTATTCCAGAAGAGCCTGCAGACACTACGTACGAGGCTTCTTGGGACGAGAGCTTCTTGAGGTGATACACCACTGACTGCTATTGCCACAGAAGTGTGCCTTCACTTGAACCCATCCATGTGCAGTTGTTCGTTTTTGCGCTTGCTGGCTCACCTCTCCGTAACTGCACTACATCTTATTGATGTAGCCTCACTTTGAAGCTTTATTTCCTTATGTAAACACTCCACTGCCTTTTTCTGGAGAGCATCTAAACCCCTATTTCTTCCACCATATTTACTTGTAGACGCCACTTTTGTAGAAATCGAAGGAAAAACACCAATTACAGATATGATATATTTCTGAACAAACATGCATCTGAAGAGCAATAGGCAAACAAAGCCCTAACGCCGAATTCACGAACCTCACTCCATTTGTGGCACCCCTCCATTTCTACGTTGAAGGTGCTAAGGCCAGCACTGGCCCTTGCGCCTTCCTCAAGGAAGTGGAGGGGCACCCCAATGGGAGCGAGGTTTGTGCATTCGACTGTTAGAATACTGAGATGCCACTTAGTTGCCTGAATATATGCTGTGCCAAAAGTAGAAGAGGAGTGCATGAAAATCGATAAGGTTGCCCATTTGCCCATCAAGTCTTCGAATAACCCTGAGAATATACTTTTTGCAGCAACTCAACCTCAACGGCCCCCCTGCACGAGGAGCCCAAGTACATTGTGTTTGAGAGCTGTTTATTGCAGTTGCTCCGCGTATGCATAATCTGCCAAGCGCCATGTAAAGTTACTATTGTACCAGACGGCACACTAGTGAGGGCCACGGCTGTGTGCCAAAGCGAGCACAGCAGGACTTGGCTCAGCCAGCCTCTCATCAACAACGTGCCAGCCTGCAACCTGCTCCTCTCCGGTGCCATGCTGTTCACCGGCTCCTGCTCTGCAAAGGTGCTCAGGCTGCTAAGGCTCATCAATATTCAAGCCTTCTCGGAAAGCACGTACTTCAATCACCAGGCAGCATTCCTGCAGCCTGCAATTGAACGAGTGAGTTCCATTGCATAATCGCTATCTTTCTCGTGCCCTTTAACATTTTTTGGGCAGCACATTCTCATTGTCGTCATTACAATCCCCTCAGTAATGGGTACAGCAACTATTGAGAAATTTATTAATAAACAATAGAAAGAGCTCAAGAATGTGGAATGAAACTCATCGGCCTAGCCTAAATTCGAAAAACGTTTTCCGAACCCTTTTTCAGGTGTGGATCCGAGAGCAGCAGAGCCTTCTTCAAGCGAGACAGGGGAAGACGGTGCGTTTGGCTGGGGACGGGAGGTACGACTCTCCAGGGTACTCGGCCAAATTCATGACGTACACCTTCATGGAGATGGAGACAAACAAGATCCTCCACTATGTCCAAGTGCAGCTTGGAGAGGCAAGTTTTGCACGTTTCCTGGAGGGTTAGAATATTGATGTTGCTTGTTACTGCAAGAGTAAGGCTTCACTTTGTGTGTAGCACTGACCAAGTAGATAAAAAGAGTGTCTACTTGCTCCGAGCTATAGGAAATAGTTAAAGGATAGCGATATATCACCAGTTCATCTATGCATTGACGCTGACATCACTCAAGCTGCATGTGCCAATATTCATACAAAGTGCACTACAAAAGCCAGAGCTTCCTTATTATAGTGTTATAGCTTTGCTCATGAATAGTCTGTGTGGAAATTTAGGATGGACTGTTCCATACCTACATACAGGCCATACATTTTGCTTCATTTAGCAGTCGGTGCTCAAGTCCTTAAACACGAGCAACTGCTTTTTTCTCTTACAGTCCCCCGAGGTGAAGTCCAGCAACGCAATGGAGCTGCATGGCTGTGCCAAGGGGCTCACTTTTTTCAAGGAGGAGGATGTCACGGTCGAGGCCCTCGTCACTGACCGTCACCTAGGGATCAAGGGCCACATGAGGAGCAAAGAACCCCAGACACGCCATTACTTCGATGCTTGGCACATTGCAAAAGGTGCCTAACCCTGACTATCATCAGTTTAGTCTGATTTAGTGTCATATTGCAGTCCTTATGTTAGTCGGTCTACAAGTCTGGAGTAAGGTGCAATATGTGTACTGATTTTAGTTTTTTTTTAACTGTTCTTCCAGGCATAAGCAAAAAGATGCTGAAGGCCAGCAAGTACGCCCGGTGTGAAGTGTTGGCATACTGGGCACAGCCTGCCTCCAACCATCTGTACTGGTGTGCTGCCAACTGTGAAGAGGATGGAAAACTCCTCGTCGAGATGTGGAAGAGTGAGTCAATTATTTGTCAATATTTAGTCCTATTATATACAGAAGTGCCCAGGTAGTGAATTTTCACTTCGAAGTGAGCACAAAGGTAATAGTAACCATGTTGAAATAACCTGAGACTGGGGTAGAGAAGAAGCATCAAAGCGTAGAAGGGACAGAAAATAGACAGGACGACGTCATTGAGACGTCGTCCTGTCTATTTTCGGTCCCTTCTACGCTTTGATGCTTCCTCTCTACCCCAGTCTCAGGTTATTTCAACATGGTTAATATTCACCAGCTCGCCTGCACCCTTACGATTTTTTCAAAGGTAATATAATAGTATTTATTTTGCAAGAATAATTTTGAATCAAACCAAATACTTGTACAAGGATGTGGAAGTAAAAAAAAAAAGTCAAATGTAGAACTTCCAGTGAAGAAAGGATTGTCTAGCAGTCCTTTTCCAATGTATGTTTCAAAGCTGTCAAGGAAATGTACAGATGAAATGTAGACCTGCTATTCTTTACTTTATTAACTCTTCAGTACACTATCGTGGCAGTATTACAAGAATCCAACGTCACAAAGCAACTGAGGATATAAGTGATGCCCCAAAGACTCCGTGGGCAGGAACCAGAGATGGTTTGAACCCTCAACTTTGCGCTCTCGAGACGAAAACAAAATCCCAGTGCCACGGAGGGTTATTGCCAAGACGGCAATGGTGTCAACAGCAACAAGCTAAAACGTTGCAGGGAAATATTACACAAAAAGGCAGGATGGCGGCTGCTTAACACCAAGTCAACCTCCTTTGATAACATTGTACATGACTATCATCTAAACCAAATGTGCCTACATGTCATAGCCCTTGCGTTAGTACCACGTGCCAAAAGCTTTACCGCTTTAGTCAGAAACATTACAGGAAAGTATCTGAATTTGGTTGTTGCACTGAAAAATTTTGCAGATCAAGTCTAGTTACCATTATAGGTTTACCTCTATTTTTATGTAATAATGGCACAAGAAAACACTGGACATACAGTCTAAGCTCATTACAACAGACCTGGTTACAACAGACATTTGGATATAACATAGGGATTGTGAAGTTTGGTTCGTTTTCCACTACATACCATTGACTCCGCTTCATATCTGCGTACAACAGACTCCTCTTATAACAGACCGAAATCTTGGTCAAAATCAAGGTCTGTTATAACGTAACGAGCTTAGACTGTATACAGGCATATATCCATGTAGTATTTTGTTGAATGTTTTCCTTGCTTTTTAAATTAATAAAAATATATCCTGCAGCATTCTCAAACTTCAAAAATGTTCGAAGTAGCCAAATAACCAGCCCCATTTGTTTTGAATATTTGCACGTCTAGGCGATATCATAACAAAGGGGGTTACAGTTGAAACATGCCTGTATCAGCAAGTCTACCAGTCAAAATAGATAACAGAACACAATTGCAGACATTTGACAGGCTAGCAGGTGCACTACAACACAAATGAGTATCAATTTAGGTATCTATGATCCAGTGCAGAATGACATAGAGCAAATAATGTCTGCATAATTGTTTGGCTCGAATGCGGAACTGTCGAAATATCTTGATTAGGTCGACATGTCCCCGTGATGCTACGATTTTGTTTACGTGGGACATCTCAAGGCCTGAAAGACTGGTCTCTGTCACGTAGACAGCAACGTGTTAGGCATACGGCAAAGGTTACAGGCATGCTGTCACGCCTGAAAGTTGTTTCGTAACTTCTCGTAACTTCACAAACTGTTTGCATTGTTCTAAAAAATGAACCTTGTATTTCAGGCATAAACAACCATGCTCTCGACAAGCACACTGGCCATGGAGGGGTGTACGACCGCTGTGTTCACGACACCCTCGTTGGGGACAGAGAGTGGCTCTCTCTAGGTCAGTAGGCAATCACGCTGAAAACCTAACTCTACTTTTCTCTGAGCGAATTTGGTAAATTTGCACATTTAAGTAAAAAAAATAGAAGCTGCATAGCATGTAATCATGATTCCAGGTACACCAGCTCACAAGCGCTTTGTCAGCATTACCATGCAAAAAGTGCTTCTGAGGGACTTGGAGCACGTGTCACCTGCAGGCCACACGTACAACCTCGAGTCCTACCATAGTATGCTCATCAGGTTTGCACCCAAGTCTGTGGCGTTCACAGGCCCCATCATGCATGCAAGGTTTGTTTTCTGTAAACTAATTAGGCACATATGCAAGTCGATTGTTTTTTCTAGCAGGTCCCCATGAATGCTTTTCACTGCGGACAATATTTCTGCTTCAGAACCAGATTGGCTGCTCTGCACCACAACGAAAACTCCGGAAGGGTCCAAGCGGTGACGCGCAAAGGGCAGCCGAAATTCAAGCGAAGGATGCAGAGAGGGAAGATGGGGACCGATCGTCTCAAGGAAGTGAAAACCCCTCCAACCTACGGTGAGGCTCATATAATTTTGTTGGCACCGTAGATACTACCCGCTGGACAGTCATTCCGAGACAATCTAAGTGCTGCAGAGACGCTTTTAGTTCCTTGACATATGTGATGGGTAACATCCTTTATCTGCGCTTGCCCTAATTACAGCGTACGTGGGCCAGCTGCTGTCTGAGGCTGCTGCCTGCTGCAGCGAGTCTTCCCTCAGGGAAGCCTTGGGCAACAGACCCCGGGATCGGGCCCCCCTCCCCATGGCAGCTCACTACCCGAGGCTCCCAAAGGAGCAGCTGGTGGAACAGAGGATGTCACGTTACAGCAGAGGGACAGCAGGGTCTTCATGAGGTGAATGCTCCAAGCAGTTGCTCTACCCCACTGCTTTGTATTCCATACACCTCCTGTTCTTGGTGTTGTGCTGCTGTGTGTTTGAAGAGAGAATGAACGAGTACTGAAGCTTGCAAATGAATCTGGGGTCCGCTAAGCTATCTTGTTTTTAGCAAGATGGGCAGCTTCACGGTTGATCAGCAGGATGGCACAAATGAGAGTGCACGCACTGTCTCGCTGAATGCTGTTGTGGATGCCGGCAACAGTTTAGTACGCTATCAAAAACAGACAGATTTAGGTTTATTGCGCTTGCACTTGTTCATTCGTTTCTTCAATCAGTTTGTCTGCTTATTTGAACGTGCAGGACGCATCCTCAGATGAGCTGAAGGCCGTCAAGAAGGCTGGCAAGGCACAGAAGAATGTGTGCACCACTGACAAGCAGCAGCACAGGAGGAAGTAGTCACGGCATCTACACCTAAAAGGTGCTTGAGCTGTTCCACCCAGACACCGACGCGTCAAGCGGGGCCATGTGGACCATGAAGAGCTTCATGAACGACGCCTTCGAGCATATTGAGGCTGAGGTCTCCTGCCGTGGCCCACTACAAGCGCTCGACCATCGCGAGCCGCGAGAACCAGATGGCTGTGCAGCCGCTGGTGCCGGGTGAGCTGGCTAGGCACACCGTGGTCGAGGGCACCAAGGCCGTCACCAGGTACACCAGATCCAAGAGGTCCATCACCGTCACGCAGAGAGAAAAAACAACGGTCCTTTTCAGGACCACTTCTCACTCGAAAATCGGACGTCTTGCGACGGCTTCAGACGCCCGTGTCTCTTTTTTCAATGCAGTATTTGGAAAGGAACAAAAGTTGTGAGTACAAATTCGATGTTCTACTAGTTTGTAGTTGCAGCATGCATGCAACGATGGCAGCATGCCTGCTTCACAGGCATGCTGCCTATGTGAGAGAATACAGATTAGTGCATTTGCTGCCAATTCCTTGTTTATCTCAGCATTTGCTTCAGCATCCCCCAATTTCCTTGCACATTCCCAAGCTGGCTTATGGGAGCTAGATCATGATCACGTGCAGCCTTTTGGCAGATCCCAGCTGCTAGGGAGCACGTCTCCCATGAGGCGGACACAATGCGGTTATCACAGTGGAGTTTCTGCTTGCCTGTGGATTGTTTATTTAGCATAACACTATAACCTGCAAAATAATTGGACGGTTCAAATTGTGGACTGCACAAAGGTCTTGGGCCACATGTAGGGATTTTCATGCAGTGCTGCAGAATGAGCACCCCCTTTTCATTCCAAATACATTCCACGGAATTGAATTTTCCAATAATTTCATTTCTTTGAACTCCTAAGAAGGGAAACACTGGGTTTTGAAATGTTGTTCACAAGCAATGTTTTGAAAAAAATTACAAAAAGGGTAACTTTTTTCTGAGACAAGATTTCTCTTATTTTGTGTGTTCTAAACCATGTCAGAGTTTCTAGGTCTCCACTATTTCCAGTAATCTTTTGGGTGTCAAAGGGGTTAAGTTGCCGGCAAATAACGTCGGTATAAAGCTGACGTTATAAAAGGCATAGACAACTGCAAAAATATGCAAAAAAAAAGTTCCGAAGGCACTATCAGGCGGTAGTCGCTCATGGCACTGATAGCAATGCGTCGAAAAACTGAGGGAAACAAGAGCACGTCGCAACATGGACCCATCTTTCGAATGATTAGTGGGTAGACCGTTGCCTCCACACTGCAATTAAACACGCTCGAATGCGAGGACCTAACGCCAGATGCCGGCGTTCTAGCGCGTTTGTTCAGTGCAGTGGAGACAAAAGCAGCTAGCTATACACTAACACGCGTCCCTGACGTCATGCTGCTGTAGTGGCGTTGCTACTGGCAGGGCGCATGCACAAATGCTCCACTTCATGCAAATCTAGTTTCTGTGTATTTGCACGCACTTTGTGTGGGCTTGTTTGTAGACAGCGCGCTGGCCTATACGTCTACCCACTAATCATTTGAACCAGAGCTCAGCATTCTGACATCCCCGTGCTCTCGTCTCTTCCTCTCCATTAGTTTCTTGGCGCATTGGTATAATAGTACAGCAAAAAGCTTAAACAGATAGAAAAACTTCAAACCACCCATTTTCTTCAGAAAAGGACCTTATTTATAAAACCACTTCTAGGAGATATGTGGCAAATGAGTCGTGCATCAAAAAAACACGGGAACTGTGGCATTGTTCATACCTGGTGCTCTATTTGCACATGGTCAGAAGTCACATTGCCGAGTCTCATGGCGCCACGAATGAGACCTTGTCTGCTTACAACGCTAGCTTTAATTGCTTCATTGGGGTGCGATTTTCAACCTTGAAGGAACATGAGCCGGTCAGATAACCAAGCCGTCAGTTACCTAGAGTGCAATGATGCCGTCTCAAAAGCCCCTTTGACCGCATCGACACAGCTTGCATAAGAACACATTTCATCCCTGCTCAATTCTTGGCAAGATGCAACTAATTCCCTTCTAATTTTTCTCAGTACTGCCGCCAATCCACTCTATTCCGGAGTCGCAGAATGATTGTGGAATCATTCAGACTTCAGAGTGGCAACTCCGCAACACTGTTTTCATGGTATGGGTGTTTGCCACCTATAGGCACAGTGCATTTACCCACTAATTACTAGACATGCAGGTACCACAGCAAGTTTTCTGGCAGCAGAGCAGTCAAGTCTAAAGGTTGCCACGAATGTCTTCATGCCGACAAGATTGGTGGAGAAACCGGAACTGAGAAGTGAATAAATGTATGGATGAACCAAAGAAGTTTCCAATGAGTAGCCTGTATGTCATGTTCCTGGCTATGTTCTTTACAGGGCATAAAAAAAAGAAGCCAAGAGTTACCTGTTGCAACCATTTTGGGTGGCTCGATGCTGGCGCATACACGCAGCTGGTCTATCTGTGTTGAGCTCAGCTGGTCAATTTATAAAGCTTACGAGACACGAGAGGGAGGCTCTGCTTGGTTGCCAGCTCCGATATACTGCAGATGAGTGGCCTTGATAAAGGCCGTATAAATGGGGTTCTGCCAAACATTTCTCAAGGGTAGTGCCAAGCAGTACAGCTAGAGAAAGCACAAGCTGCAGCAACTCTGTGGCTGTACACTGTACAGCCACAAGGTTGCTGCACACTGGTCTCTCTCTAGCCGTACCGCATAATGCTCTACACTCGGTGATCCGTGTACCAGAGGATCGGGGGTGTACTGGACGGCTTCCTGGCTGGAAAGAGATGAAGTGACTTATTAGGGTGCAGAATGGCAAAGGACACGACGCCTACAGAAGGATTGATTTCAGGTGCTACTTAAACAATGTTTAATATTGCAACTTCAAATGTGCTCGATGCCCATGTCTGATTGCTAGGAAGAACGCTAGAAATGCATGCTTGGCTTTCTATACGTTGAAACTGTCGCGACTGATATTGAAACAAATAATACAAAACTTTCTCATGTTGAATTAACCTGAGACTGGGGTAGAGAAGAAACGTCAAAACGTAGAAGGGACAGAAAATAGACAGGACAACGCCTAAAACTCAGCTGAGTTTGAGACGTCGTCCTGTCTATTTTCTGTCCCTTCTACGTTTTGATGTTTCTTCTCTACCCCAGTCTCAGGTTAATTCAACTTGGTTAATATTCACCAGTTCGCCTGCACCCTTACGAGTTTTTCTACAAAACTTCCGTCTATTTACATAGCTACGATTAACCACAGCTTCCATGTCAGTTCTTGATTTATGGTTCAAAACATGGACCGAGTAGTGGACCAACCTCAGCAATCCACTGGTGCGCAGTCCAGAGGAGGATACTTGAAGCCAGTGTATTGTTGAGAGGGGAAGGTTTTTCTTATTTTCTCCACAACGCACGCAGGCAGCACTCGTCTGTTGCCAGCTCCCAGTCGACCCCACATCCAGCGGGTGAACTGCCGGTATGCCACAAAGCGATACTTCCTGGAGAGGAAGAATAACAATGTTTCTTGTAGAACTGAAGGCAGAACCGCCACGTTCTAAGATGCAGCTGAGAGGCAGAAAGCAGGCCTCATCAGGTCTTTGATTTTCCGACAAGCTTTTGAAAGAACTGCCGCACTCGCTGGTTTAATGAAAACGCGTTTAGATAGTTTATATTTTCATGTGTGATGAGGCTTTCTGTTTCGGGCACGGCGAGCCTTAGGAGCACGTAAAGTGTCAGCAAAGCGAACACTACGAAGGAGGTTGTGCTCTTTTGGGAGCACGTAAAGTGTTAGCAAAGCGAACGCCTGCTACGAAGTCGGTTGTGCTACTATGTATCTACCTGACTGAGTATCAAGGATATTCGTATGCGCGCGATCACGTTTTGTTGTTTCATTTTGCCGTGTTATGCTAGCACCATTTGCACTCACCCGTGGAGCTCGTGGGAATGTTCGAGACCCTTCTCGCGGACCTCGCAGTAGGCCACGGCGAGGACGACGACGTCAAGGCACAGCTTGAAGAAGTCGGTGTGCACCGTGATGCACTCAGCCGGCTGCTTCCGAACAACTTGTGGCAGCTCACGGCAGCAAAAACACTCCCGAGTTGTAGGCATGGCCGTGCAGCGGCCGCAGTCGCACCTGGATTGCAAGCTTACTTAGGACCCAGCTTATATGTTTTATATCGTGCCCAAGGGGAACGCTCACCAGTTTGTATCTCCTACTCGCCGAAGTGGCTCCGGTGGCGGAGTTGCGGGAGACGAGTCTTCCGCGACTGGCGAAGCGGAGGGAGGCAGAGACGCGTCGCGGCGCTTGCGTGGAGTGTCCTCGTACGGCGCGACGCCCAGATCCGCACTCCTTTTAAGAATTCGGCGCTCAAAATCTGATAAGCCCGGTAAATTCATCGATGATGGCAACCCGATCCTAACCCTGCGATGGTTGCATCGAGGCCTAACGACGACGGGACGGCGGGCCGACCGGGCTATCAACCAAACTCGCGTCCCATTGGCCAACCGCTTTGCTCCAATCGCTAAACTGTTTCATTTCACGTCATGAAGCGCAATGTTTTGCTTATTTAAAGTTGTTTTCTGCAATATTTATTTTGCCAATAACTCACAAAATATTGCGAATTTCTGTAATATTTTTTTTCCTCGGTGTTCCTGCTTTCATGGAGCTCCGTTTCAGCGCGAACTTCGAACCGGTCAAAAAATTGTTGGTGGGCCCCTTTAACCTGTCACCGGCTAGAGTTGCCCACAGCGCTAAGGAAGATACATGGGCGAGAGCGTATCTCAAGCACTTGGAGAGGAGGGGAAGGAGGAAATCCCCTTTTACAATGACTCTCTTTTGTGTACCCTCACGTCGCTTTTCACCCTTCCGGAGATTAGCGCGTCACTCAAAATTCACACAAAAGCCGCTTTCAACTCTCTCTCACTCGCCCGTTACTTTGACGCGCCAAAGATAAGAGTAAAGAGTTTCGTGAGTCATGCATGGCCTTCCAGACTTTTGGCTTCAGGAAATAAAACGGATCCATCACTTGAAATTAATGGTGTGATAGAATGATGATGAAAATGCAAAACATTTGATAAATGTTTACTCGTGAATACTCGGTTTGACTAAATAGTTACGCAAACTTAGTTGAAGGATAACTTAAAATTCTTAAGTTGTAGACTTTGTCCGGGCTATTATACATAAGTAATCTCTAAACGAAACATTAACGCATTGAATGGTGCCTTATAAAGGCTGTGTCGTCTCAACGACGCACACACACACGCCATTAGTCAAATAAATTTATGGCGGTAATAAATTAAACGTAAAGTACTTCCTTCTGGCTGCGCTAATTAGTACGCGGTACACGTTAAAGACCCCAGGCTCATTTCTTGGAGCATGGCAGTTTGTCTTGTGAGTTTGCAGCTACTATAATGGCAGATTGTCATAATCTCATAATTATGTTAATAATATTATAGATATTATGGGTGTATGTATGTGTTTGTGTGTGTGTGCTTTTTCCTTCTGCTGCTGTATGAGGGGGGGGGCAGTATTTGAGGAGGAATTTATCATTGATCTCAAGGAGAAACATTGTTCGATGGGAGAAATGCCGGTAAAGTTCAGGCGCAACTCTGCGCCCGTAACCGAACAGCCTTCAGGGGACAACTAGCGTTTCTGATACTACATTCATAATCTGTTCACCCCTAAGCATACAGTTTAGAGGGAGCTACGCGTTTGCCGGTTTAATGCGTAGTCGTGTTCAATATGCCTCAGTTGTCTGGAACTGTATTGGAGTGACAAATTCAGGCGTAATTGTTTGATCGTTATTTTCAACCGAATTATTTCTATAGTTATGAGAGGATTTGTGAACTCGTGAAGTTAGACTCGTTGCACAACAGGAGAACAATTTGTGAACTGACATATTTGTATAAGATTGTAAATGGTATAATTTATTCCCCAGAGCTACTTAGTCACATCTATTTGCATGTTCCTCGTCAGTCTTGTAGACTTTATACTTTGTTTTACCTACTGACTTTTACCATGCTGCACCCATGACACGCCTACGACTGATTTATAACCATTTAGAACAGATTTGTGCGAATGCTAGCCTTGATATTTTTTTATGAAAAGCGTAAATCTCGACAATGTGTTGAGGCTATTGTTTTTTTGTTTCTAACGTTTCGCTTTTATCCTGTTTAACGTTGCATTTATGAAGGAAAAAGTGCACCACTAAGAAGGCGTTAAGCTGTTGGTGGGTCACTGAAAAGAAGAATAAATAAATGAATAAATAAATAAACACTCCCCCCCCCCCCCTCCCCTTATGTCACATGAGTCCGCTTTCTGAGCGGAGTCATATGAGCAGCGTGATTAGGCGCCGTTGGGTGGACATATTGTCTTGTGCATGGCCAAGGGGAAGACGCTTCTACGTACTTCTAGAAGATTCGTGTTTAGTCTCACCCCGAGTGTAATAGTTAAAAAGGCTAACATGGCCTTGCCGAGTCAGTCTTCCGAGTGTTCGATGCTCGGACACTCTACGCCGAATGCTCGAGATATCGAGGGTAGTAGATAAGGAGCCTAGCGCAGCCTTGCCGACTCACTCTCCCGACGACGACAGACCCCGGCTCTCTTGCGCTAGTCAGCAATGGCGCCGACACTTCGACGCTCGGTTCTGGCGCCTTGGCCGCTCGCTGCTGCTTCATCGACGCTCGCTCTTTCTTGTTTCTGGCACAAGTTCGCCGATTAAACCTTTATTTTCAGTTTTACGCTAGTCGTAAAGTAGAGAGTATCTACAATAAAACTAGAACGAAAAGTCATCGACTCTCAAAGCAACAGTGTTCAGGAACGGACAACCAAGACAGACAGTGAAAAAGAAAAGAGGTTGATCTCTTATTGCGCCCCTCAAGACCGACCACCAACAACTAACAACGTACGAAAAGAAAAGTAATACTGATGAAAACGACTAAATATTTAGTGTCTGTTTCAAGACATAACCTCATTCCTTCCATTCTCAAAAAAAAAAAAAAAAGATTAATAGCAACACATGATAAGAATACAGGATGCAAACATGAAGTTTTATAAGTGTGATCCTTCTCCTTCGGGCGAAAATGTAAAAATGTAAATATGTAAATAGGTAAATACTAGGGTATGTATAGCCATAATAATAATCTCTTGCTGTAAAATATAATCATTAAAAAAATCAAAAACAACGAAAAATTACAATGCTCTCTGCTCCCCCCCCCCCCCCCCCCCCCACCCCGTCAAAAAAATAATTCGGGCGACAGACAAATAAGAAATAAAATGAAAACATACATGAGAACGCCAAGATACGTAGAGATACATAACTAATTTTAAAAACAAAATCATTAAAAGAGAATAAAATTTTAACATTGTTTCCAATTCATTTTCTTATATATTCCAGTACGAAAATTTTAAAGAAAACAACTTCCTCGTCGTCAAGA